AAACAATTATTCCACTCGCGCTTGTTGGATATGAGATGATTGTAGCCAACTTGGCGCTACGCGCCTCGTTGGCTATCTATCATCTCATATCCAACGCGTGCTCGTGGAATAATTGTTAATTATTCTTATTTTTAACATACATTGTTAATATTAATGTACATGTAATTAGTCCTATAAATTTGAATTTTCTGTAGTATTTTAAGTTGTTAAGCACTGTTGATCATTGAATGAAAATAGCGCTCTAGAAGTTATTAAATTAAATTAAATAAATTAAATTAAATCACTTCTGGAAGTTAAGGGGTTAAGGGTACCTAACATTGTAGTTTGGTAAAATAGAATTACTACACAAAGAAATAGTTATAGAACAGTATTACTTACCCATTGTCACCGCCAAAAACATATAAAGCATCATTCCAAGCAACAAGAGTATGTTTGCTTCGTCTAGAAAGTGAATGAAGAACTGAGTTGAATGATGGAAATTATAAACAGTTTATTGAATACAGGGGTTTCCATAACCTTTTCTATATGTGGCTACTGATGGGGTAATAAGGGGTCGTGCCCAGAAAAGGCCCCTTTTTCCCAGTTTGGGGGGGGGAAGAAGCATGCATCACTGAAAAAATTTGAAATCTAGACGGTAATTTCAAGCCTTCTGGGCATCAATAAGGAGGTGCTGTTTTCAAATTCATAGAGAACATTTTCCAAAAGACCACATGCGAAAGGTTGCCTTCCATTGTGGGAGCTGAGGGGCGCTGTAAGGGGGGGGGGATGTACCTTTGCCGTTCTAGTCAGAAGATAGATTTAAGCTAAACCGTTTTCATGTACAAGCCTTCTTCTTTAAATGATCTTCATAATCTCTCTGACTAATACCTTGCTCCCACAAATTCATCACATTCTGGCATTCCTTTCCATCTGTTAACTCTTTCAAAACGTCCAAAGTCAAGAGACAGTGTGTCAATAGCTTCCACATCTACATCATCAAATGGACGAGGAGGGTGACTCCAACTTCCGGTTGCCATGTTGAATTCGAAAGGTCGTCAGCTACGAGCGTTCACGAAATAAAAATGGTCGATGTGTGGCAGATCTTCCTGTCCGGTTGATCCTCTAATTTACAGCAGCTTCCTGCATGGCTAAAGGTAAATATGAAATAAACATTCGGCTTAGGTTTAGAGACGGGAAGTTCGTCTTTGGTAAGCATGATTCCGCTGTTATCTCTTTACTCTAGTTAAAAAATAAGCCGACAAATAAAACAGATTTTGAATCATTCCTAAGAAGACCTTACCTCACCTCACCTCAGATTAATAAATTAACTTTCGGCATAGGAAAAAGGGCACGTGACCAAACAGAACGGCCGGCGGAGGTCTGGATAATACTATGCACTTCCACCATTTTACTTTTGCTTTCTGCAAGCACAGTATGTCGAAACGTAAAGTGCAGTTTGCAGATAAAGAGAGCGAGGAGATTCAGATAGAATCTACCTCAGCAAGAATTAAAGCTCACTCTCTGGACAGTGATGAAGAAGGTGATGACGACGGTAGAGGTAAAGATGATGAAAAGTATGTTTTGCGCGAGGAGGATTTGGAAGGGCAAGAAGACGCCACGATCGACTTCGACGAAGGAATCAAGATAACGCCGTTTAATTTGAGGGAAGAAATGGAAGAGGGCCACTTCGACGCAGAGGGAAACTACTTTGAGAAAAAGGAGGAAGTTATTCGAGATGAATGGCTGGATTCGCTGGACTGGGTCAAAATCAAAGAACAAGGTGACAAGCATCAGAAGGATATTAGCAACGGTAACGATAGTATCTTCGAAGATGCCGACGAACCAGGCGATCAAATTCAAGCAATGAAAGATATTCTAGACATTATTTTACCCGGTGAAACTGTTTTGAAAGCTCTCAGACGTCTCGGTGGAAAAGAAAGCGGTCGTAGTTCGTCTGCAAGCGCACGTTGGCAACCAAAATCGAAGAAGCCGAAGGCTGTGGAGAACGAAGGTTCTGAAGAGAACAAACAAAATCTTTTAAAACTCACTGAACTAGCAGATCAATTGCTGCAGAAGGGTTACTTCGGTATTTATCAAGATACCTATGAAAAATTGGCTCACAAAATTAAAACTATGCAAGAAAAACAGCTGGAAGCTGAGGAAGATGATGCTTTGGAGGCTGCTTTTAGACAGGGGGGAGGTGAGAATGAAGAAACAGTCATGGAGACCGAGAGTTCTGAGAACATCAAAACAGAATCAGGTAATGAAGATGAAGTTTATTGGCACTACAAATGGGAAAACACAAAAGATGCTACTGTTTATGGACCATATTCATCAACATACATGCTAATTTGGAATGACCAGGGGTGTTTTGGAGATGGAGTGTGGGTGAGAAAAGTTGGTGAAGACAGTGGGCCATTCTATAACTCAAAACGGATTGACTTTGAGCTGTACACTTAGGATCTATGGGGCTGATGTATCTTTTTTATGTGGGGTGTAAATGTTTTTGAATTTTGAAACAGATGAAATGTGGTATCAAGGGTAAAGTTTGAACTGTATCATAAATTATTTGTACGTAAATGTTGAGCTGATGTCTGTCGTAGTGAGGTTCAGAGTAACTTACAAATTCTTTTTTCCTGTAGGCTCTTATTTTATGACCTGTGGTTCTGGTTGCAAGGCTGTGCTCTAGCAGTGCCCGGTGGCCCCTGGGGCCTTACTTTTGCTCGTCAGCAACTTGGAAAGTTTAGTTTTTTCATACAAAGCATATGCTGGGTACCCTGGATTTCACAGTTTTAGAGCACTGGGCTCCATTCAATTTTCCATAGAGCACAGCCTTGGGTTGAAGTGTAGATTGGACTACTATATCCCTTAAGAAAGGTTAACCCTTCGACTCCTAGAAATGATTGACATGAAGTTTCTCCATCCAATATCTATGCATTATCCAGTTAACAGGTAATGGGAGAGCTTAAAAGTTGTTTTTCTGATCAAGCAAATTCTTGGAACCATTATACAAGTAAATGTGTAGCAGTTAGAGGGGAGAATTAACTATCAGGCCCCAGTTGTTCGAAGGATGGATAACGCTATACACTGGATAAATCTCTATCCAGTGGATAGCGCAGTACATTTTGTTAACACTTATCTGCTGGAGAGCAATTTATCTGTTGGATAGCGTTATCCACCCTTTGAACAGCCGGAGCCAGATCTTGGGAGTTAAAGGGTTGACATGTTGTAATTAGGGACCTTAAGCAAACCATGATGGCGACAACAAGGGCATGGCAAAATAAAAGATATGATTAGCTGTCTTAGCCATCTTTTGCAAAACAGCAACATGAAATCACCAAAATTTGTGTCGTCTGGGAACGGACACCGCGACAGCAAACTGCTTTTATTTAATTTCCATATGAAGCTCAATGCTGCTTTCATACATTATACTGAAGTTGAGGTGTGGCACTGTAAGAGATGGTAAACACACACAGCTGTTTTTGAAATTCTAATTAAAAGTAGTCATTTTTTTTGTAATATATGTCTTCCTTGGCATTACTGTCCCGACTGCGTAAGGTCCCTATTTTGAGGACAGCACCATGCTGTGTGCAGTCTCCAGCACTTTCCAAGCACTAAGACAAGTACTGATTAAGGTTGTCAGTCATCGACATCAGAAATGTTAAAAGCGAGGCAAAGTAGCTTCCTCATTCATAATCATGATACCTTTTCTTAGTTTCCCTAAGAGGTATATTACTTGGAAAAGTTCTGTCTTTGATACCATGATACCAATGTTATAGTAACTGTAGTTTGTCTTTAATAAAACAAATTACAGACATTCAACTTGCATTCTATCTACAAATGTGAGCTCCTTGGGTAGGATTTCATTAACAATGATCTTGATAGTCACAATGCCTTCAGTGGTCTCCATTACTCAGATGGCTTTTTACTATTTTTCATCATGGCTAAAGAGGAGGGATGGGGTTAGAAGAGATTTTAGATAGCAATGATGGTGTGATAGAGTATGGTAAGGTATCCAAACACAGTTATGCACTAGAAATTGGAACGGTACATTGCATACTTATGTGAAGTTCAGTTAAGATTATTCATAATCCCAGGGTAATCAATCTAACCATGGAAAGTAATGATCATGACTGAGTCAAGACTTGATGATGAAGTCACCAAATGAAAGAAGGGTCCAGCAGTCAGCTAAAAAAAAAACCTTTCCCATTTCACAACTGACCTCCATAAAAGAGGTTGAGGATAACATTCTCAATTCAAAATTTGAGTACAGAGCTGAGAATCAAAGAGGATAATGGGCATTTTAGACTACAAGAAGTCCCTCCTTTTTGGCAATGTCAGTCACACAAGAAAAAAAATGTTAACCTGCCATGTAGAAATCTGGGTGAGAGGCACAGTAAATAAATCTTTTTTTGGGCTGAATTATTTTAACTAGAGCAACAGAGTTTCCATTGTCAATGGGCATTAAGACAGTGCTAGCAAATCTTAAACAGAGAAAAAAAAACATCAGGTATTTGCCAACTGGAGTGACACTTAAATTCAAACTTTTTCCACCACAGTTTATGCTCATCAGCTCATTACGTTATTCCTCCTCATGTTTGCTATTAACATGTAATAATTTAATGACTTGTTTTTTTTTTTGCATTGAGGATCTTTGTACCTACAAAAAAAAAACCTACCCTTATTAATAGCTATTGGATCAATTCACATCGTCACGAGTTGATGTTTATATAAAAAGAATGGATGTATCTTTACACTTTTTTCCCTGTTGTAAACTATCATTAACAATTTAATTATCTTTTTTTTCCTTCTAGCAATAAGTTAATCATAAACTGGCTACATACTTTAGAGAAAAAACGTTTCTTGTCCCTTAAGTTCCTGGATCTTGAAATACCTGCATTTGATTTTCTTTGAAAATAAGTAAAAACCCCTCTAGAACACCAGTCTTTTACCCTTTTTACAGCCTATCATCAGTATGCATTTTCTCCATACATTTCCTAAGGTGCTGACAAGGAGAATTTGTTCAACAATCAAGAGTTTTACCTAGTGACCATTCCCTTCTTTATATCTATGACCTTCATGTTTGATTCAGGGGTGATATTGTGAGGAGAAATTAGATGCCAGTCACTCCTGGGGAGGGGGGGTAGAGTGTTTAGACTTTGTCAAGACCCTTCTACTCCAAATGCCTACAAAGAGAACCCTCTCATACCATTAAGTATATTATTATATCTCTCAGTAAATGCATGCACAACAATTGTTCAATTAAGTGGGTCGTATTTTACTTTACTATAATATTATGGCTGTGTCTCACAAGGACTGGGAACTACCGAATTTGCAAATTAATTTTGATTGGCTGAAATCAATATTGAAAGCGGTCTAGATTTTCCCATCTAGTCTGGCATCTAGACCAGTCTAGAAAAAAAAGTAACAAAGAATCTACTGTTCCATTGCTTTCTAGACACAACCATATGATAAACATCTTATTAACTGAGCTAGGTCAGTCTGTATGGGAGAATCTTGACCTCAGTCGCTGGTACAGACCTCACTGGGTTTAGTCTGTTCTGGCGACCTCGGTCAAGATTCTCCCATACAGACCTCCGCTCGGTTAATATGAACTAAGTACAGCCCACTAAATTCAAAAGTTTGTTTGAATTTAAATCTTTCCCCTCTATTGGAACTGAGAAATGTAACAAATAGCTTGCCAACCTTGTTTTTTAAGTCTGTACTGTAAGTTTGTAACCTTGTTTTTTTCTGTTGGATTAATGGCCTGTGTACTTTGTGCTTGAGGCATTAATCCCAGTGCAAAAAACTTGGTCTATAACTTACAGTATGGACCTTGAACTTGCTACTAAGAAGTATTTACAACAGAATCTTGGATATATCCTGAGCTTTTTTTGGTCTCTTAAGAGGATAGAAGGTCCACACAACAATTTGAATCATGGCAATGATAAGAGGAATGATACACAAAAGAAAAAACATAGCATCCAAAAGTTGCCCTGGTGCCCCTAAAAAAAAAAAAAAAAGTAACAACAAAATGTATGATTGGTAGCCAGTTTGAGAAATTTAACACTAGCTTAAGTTACAGACTGGCTGAGAACTGATCCAAAGAAAATCAACTGTTACTGAAAGGCTGCCTACACGTACAATAATTATGATTTTACAAAAAGAAGTTGTAACTTAGGTTAAACATGGTTACATCAGTGATGTTATGCCCCTACTTCTTGCTAGTTTAAATTTCAAAATTAAGAGAGGAGACAATTGAAAAAGGAAAAAGTGAAATTCAAAGAATTTTTTCCCCTCCCACTCAAAACATATTTTCAAGTTCTAGCCCTTGCCACAGACATCAATTTTGGAGTGGTAGGTAATTAACTCACAGCAAAAATAATAACCATAGCTGGAAACTAACAAGAACAAACTTGACTCCAGAAATTCATGTGCTTATTACCTGAAGAACCCTTGACTTCAGTATTGCCTTGATTGTCCTGCCAAGAAAGTTGGAAACAAACAAATCATCAACAAACACATTAATTTGACAATGTCAAAAATGGCCAGAAACAAATGTAATATCAACCAGGTAAAAGCTGTTGCATGTTGCAGTTCAGTGGAATCCTGAGTAAAAGACATTCAAATGTGGGTAATTGTGACAACAACAACAACGGCAACAACTTTTATTCTTTGATCTTTTTACTTAAAATAACAGTGGGATAGTTTGCCCCACAAATAGCTAGAAAGCTAATTGTGGAGGGGCAAGACAAGTGCCTGAATTGTTCCGTGGAGAACAATTCCCTCTAAAAAAATTGTCAGCTGACGATCAGCTGACTGTCAGCTAATTGTTGACTGACTTTGTGATTTGCAAGATCAACAAATTTTGGTGTAAACTCATTTTAAAAAGGATTCATTGTATGCAGACTAAGTTTAACACAAGTTCATCAAAGTTTTGTTTTGGATATCAGTAGCCTGACAGTGGCCTGTTGCTTATCTGTCAACAAACAGGTGTTTTCAGGGAGCTGTTCTTCATTATAAATTACCAACTTTTGATACTAGACTGGGGTTTGTTGTGTTTTAAGAAATTTTTTGTGTAAGACATGGCACCAATAAAAATGCCTATTTCCAGTATTTAAACCATCTGTATCATCAAAGCCAAGATGCTAAAGAGTTGAATTCACGAATTGTTGAGAAAGCTTCCAAAAAGAAAAATCTATCTTACCTTGTATCCATACCACGAGAGTATGTGTACCACCATCATTGGTGCTAAGGACTGTGCTGGCTTGGTAAAGAGAGCATTGGTACCAAATATCATGGAAGACACAGGTGCACTTTAAGAACAAAGGGAGAAAAGCATGTTACTGATGAAAAACAGACATTTGTTGTGAATGACTTGTATTTATACCTTAGTTGTAACAAACCAATTAGACTATCTTTCAATGAATCAATCAATGAAGGATTATCAATAAAAAAAATTCCAAGAATGTAACTGTTGTAGCCTTCAACATTCATCATTCCTTCCAGAGAAAACCAATTATCCCAATTGCTTCATGTGATTCAATGATCATTTACCTGATCTCAAAGTCAGGGAAAAATAGAAAGAAAATTAATGAACAAGACCTTTTACTCACTCAAGATAAGTTTGGTTTCATCAACTGAGTTGATAATGTTAATTGGCCACTGTAAAAAGTTTCAAAGCTAATGTTTCAAGTGTCAACCCGTCGTCAGAGTGAATGGAGGAATTGTGGGTTGTGTGTGAATTTATTTGCAGAAAATGAAGCTATGCTATGGCTGGGAACATGATGATGAGAAAAACAAGAATAAATTACTTGATGAATGAAAAGCATTCCTTTATACAGAGGGGATTATGGTGCTGATTTGAAAGATAAATTTTTTCTCCAAAAGTTTTAATTTGCAGCTTTCTGAACTTCCGTAATACCTCTCTCCACCCAGGGGTATTAACAGGTACAGCTGAATTGTCAGAGAAGCCTGATAAAATGTTGAGGGGGGAAACCTTGGGATAGACTACAATCTCATCCAGGGGGGAGCAGTAATACGCCTAGTTGTTTCATGCTACAGAAGCCCGGATAACCTCTGGCTGCATGGGTCACTTGACTTGAGCACAGACTCATCCTATTTTTTTAACCCAATACATGTTCCGCAGGTCCTTTACTTACTTTCTGTGGTATTTTTCCATATCAGCATCAATAATGTCAGAAACAGACAGATTAAACAATGAGAATGTGGCATCTGGGAGGGAGCTGAAATCAACACAGGAACTGTAAGATCTGGCTTGATTAATTTGCCCTTGCAATAGCTAAACCTCACACCAAACTCTCAGCCTTTATCACTACCCTATGATAATTGATCAATACTTAATGAAGAATAATGAACAAACTATATGTACATGTACATACAATATGATTGGTCTTATCAACTGAGTTAATGACGCAAATTGGCCAAAGTAAAGCGACAGCTACTGCTTTAAAAACCTTTTTATGGTGGCTCAAAAAACCAGTAATGCAGCACAAAAGCGTACCCCCTTTACATACAACTAATGTTAAAGTTTTCTTTCATTGGATATAAAAACTCACTTGTCTATGATAAGAAAGAAGTAAAGAGCCCAAATGTTACTCCTTCCTGCCAAAAATACAACCACAGGCAGTGACAACTGTAAAAAGGTTAATAGAAAAAACAGTTAGCTGTATCAACTACAGTAGTAAATATTTGTTTATCTCAAAGGTGTAAGTTGGAGAAAAACAATTTCTAATAAATTTTTGAAAGTAACCTGTCATTACCATACAAACAAATTAATTACCACATTATCAAGAATCATTTCTACATGGCTAATTCCATGTCTTAGTCATTTAAAGTTGCCCACCGCTTTGACCCCTAAGAATGACTAGCAAATTTTCCTTTATGGCACCTCAAGAAATGTATGGAGAACAGTACAGAGAATATGCAAACTGATGTTACTGTGTAAAAGGTCAAAGAATGTCTATGTAAATAGGTTACATTTTACATTGAAAACACTGAATCAGAGGACGCATTGACCTTTCTCAACAGGCAATTATAATTATGGTGATATGTTTAAAAAACAAATAATTTCTTACCTTTAAATAGAATGACCACAAAATGACCTTGTAGGAGCCAAACTTAGCTAATAACGGACTTGTTAATAAAACAAGTAGCTGATGAAAAAATTTTTTAAGACTTTTAACTGACTTAAAAGAAATGATAAACCACTAAAGAACCTCTTGATTGTTAATTAACAAAACAAATTCTCTTGGTCACCACCCAAGGAAATGTAAGAAGAATATTATGGAGAATATGCATACTGATGTTGAGTGGTAAAGTGTTGATACCTACCCTAGGCACCAAGAAGACAGACCCAGTTAGTAAACTGTACAGCACCTGAAAACAGAATATTGACACAAGGCATATTACCCTGGCACCTACACTGTAGTTAAGATTTTTTATTTGACTTACAGCTGTACATGCAAATAATATTAAGTATAAGAATGTGTTTTTGGTTTTTAAATTTCAAGGATATTATCCTCCATTGCTATGTTCTTTGTAGCTTTTCAATGGCAACATATGGCTTTCAATCATAATTAAGTTTATTATATGATTCATGATGAAGGATATACCAAAATTACATAACATTCATTTGATAAGTTGTAGTTTTAGATAAAATTCAAATCAATTATTGGGAGAAACTAGTCACGGGTGAAAAAATTCAAAACTCTGGTTGAATGGAATCCTGCATGCTTCAACTGTTTTTAATTAGTGCCTGAAAACTTACTATCACGTAATAAACACATAATTATACATTTTACACAATATTGACTTCAACAGTTATTATTCTTTTTCACATCTAAGAAAGCATTTCAATACAAATCGGTCAAAAGGCAAAAGCTTACAGCTGGAATGACTCCAGGTCCTATAAGATGCTCCGCAAAAATGAGAAAGAAGTTGCTACAGAATGTCACATGAAATACCTGAGGAGGAAAAAGTACCCAACTCTGTTACCACTTGGCAAAAAGTTTGGGTGGCCATTGGGTTGAAAAGTGACAATTAATTCTAAAATTATTGGAACATACATTTATTAGTTTATAGTGAGATAGGATTCATTACTGAAGTCTTAACCCGTTAACTTCCAGAAGTGATCAACAAGTAACTTCTCCCTACAATATCCCTGCATTCTCAAGAAAACAGGTGACGAGAATACTCAAACTTATCAAGTAGGAGTTGTCATCTTAATCCAACACCAAATTGTGGCAACTAATTTACAAAGAAATGTGTAGCAGCTAGAGGAGAGAATTAATAATCAGATCTTGAGAGTTAAAGAGATAAAGATTCATCCATTCATTGAGAATACTTAATGTACCTATGATCTTGGACTATTAGGACTATGATATAACATGATAAGTTTGCACATTCTTTTTAATATGATAATTAAAATATGTATAATATAGAAAAAACATTCAGATTACCTGGAAGAAATTCATGGCCACAAAGCAAACTGAAAAATAAATGCAGGTTTCACTGTTAACATTTTTTAATCACAAGAGACCTTTCATTTCATCTATACTTTTCTATGAATAATAATTTCTTCAACATTAAAACTATGAAATGGTTATCATTACCAAAGCTTCTTTGTGTTAGTATTTGCTTTAACAATGTACAGAGAGGAAGTGAATCTTTTGAAGTCTTTCCATCTGAAAAATCAAATGAACATCAAAGTTACATTAATTTTAAGACTAAATTACGACATCCTTGTATTAGTCCTGATACCCATAACAGATCAGTGCAATGACCCTATTTTTGAATTCCTGAAACTTTGAGAAATGAGGACATTGATTTGCTCTGTATATCAGATAAAACTTTTCTCATGGTTATTTTGCTATCTTACAGCACAGAGTACCATTTTGTACACAGTGACTTTCATATGAAAATTCTTTAAGAAATACCTTGATTTTCTACAGTGCAAGAGCCACTTGCATCCACAGCCACTTCAACATTCATACCAGTGTACCTCATAAGCAACCAACTGAGGAAAGCAACTAGAATGCACACTGCTTGGAATGACCTAAAATTACTTTGCTATTAAAATTAAAATAAGAAGAGAAAATGTGACTGTCATGATTACTGCTATTACATTTTGAAAATATCAATCTTAGAGAGTAATTATTTTCACCATTGAGAAAGTTTAAGCAATGAAATCTTCAAATACATTAAATGTGTAGGTTTGAAGAGTATGATGATAATTACATTAATTGTTAGAATATAACACACAGGTGATTAATGCTTTTCTAGCATGCTGATTGATTCATTATGAAGTGATTAGCAAGTATTATTCACCCCCGAGCAAAGTCACAAATTTAATTTCTAACCATTTTTTAGTATATTTGACAGAAATAAACTAGTAAATGTTTTTGGTTTATGTGTGGTATACACTAAAACAATTTTTCACCTCAGTGTCACTGAAAGTGGTAGATATCTACCAAGCTACAAAGAGGTGAGGTAAATAATTCACCTCCACCTTGGTGAGTAATTGTTGGTTATTCTTCACAACGTGTTGGGCATTCAGGCTTCAGACAACACATAAGTATTAGAGAAAGACATTTTAAATAAATTAATCACCGTTCTCATTCTATTACAAAGTAACATGATGGTAACAACATTGTTGATCCAAGCAGTACTTGGAATATGTGTTATATATGAACTTCATAATGGGCCTTGCTCAGCACAGAGTCTCTGTGGCTCAATGGTAGAGCATTGGAGTGCAGAATCTGAAGGTCTGAGGTTCAATTCTGCATGGGTTCCACACTCATGACAAGTTGAAAAAATGTCTTTCTCTATCAAAATTTACCATCTTTCTTATCCTATTTACACACATACCCACTGGTATTGTTGGTGATCTTAAAGCTACAACTACTACACGATGCAAGAGGTTTACTTGGTAGCCTACCTCATTCTGATACACATTCGTACTGACTAACAGAGCCGGTGAGCCAATGATAGCCGCCACTTGCCTGGAACATAAAGAGAACAAATATTACTTAGGATACATTTTAAAGTGCCCCTAAACCCAAAATTTTTTTTCGCTCAACAAAATAAGTGTATTTTTTGGAGTATAAAAATTTTTTTATTTGCTTAAATCTTCAATTTTCTGTGCCCAGTCAAAATACGGAAAATTGGCTGCCATCTTGCCCCATGTCTGAGTTTAAAGAGGAATGGCTCTAGCAGGTAATGTGCTGTCAAATCGAGAACACGAAAGTCTGCATTTCACACGTTTTCACTTGTTTGGAAAGGTTGTAGTGCGAAATTTGCAAGAGGATATTGCGCTTCATACATTCCTCATACAACACACCTATTCAGCATATTTCAGACAATATGACGCCACCCTTCCCAAACAAGTGAAAATGTGTGAAATGCAGACTTTCGTGTTCTCGATTTGATGTCACATTACCCGCTAGAGCCATTCCTCTTTAAACTTGGTCATGGGGCAAGATGGCGGCCGTTTTTCCATATTTTGACTGGGCACAGAAAATTAGAGATTTGAGCAAATTAAAAAATTTTTGCACAGAAATACTCCAAAAAATAAGCTTATTTCGTTAAGCAAAAAAAAAAA